AAAGAAAAGAAAAGAAAAGAAAAGAAAAGAAAAGAAAAGAAAAGAAAGAGGAGATACCTGAGGCTGAGTAATTTATAAAGGAAAGAAGTTGAATTGGCTCACAGTTCCGCAGGCTGTGTAAAAAGCACGGGGCTGGGTACAGTGGCTCATGCCTGTAATCCCAGCACTTTGGGAGGCCAAGGCAGGCAGATCACAAGGTCAGGAGATCATCCTGGTTAACACGGTGAAACCCTGTCTCTATTAAAAGTACAAAAAAATTAGCCAGGCGTGGTGGCAGACATCTGTAGTCGCAGCTACTCAGGAGGCTAAGGCAGGAGAATGATGTGAACCCGGGAGGCAGAGTTTGCAGTGAGCTGAGATAGTGCCACTGCACTCCAGCCTGGGTGACAGAGGGAGACTCCATCTCAAAAAAAAAAAAAAAAAAAACAAAGAAAGAAAGAGAAAATCAGGCCAGGCTCGGTGGCTTACCCCAGTACTTTGGGAGGCCAAGGCAGCTCATCGCTTGAGCTCAGGAGTTCAAGACCAGCCTTGTCGACATGGCAAGACCTCGTGTCTACTAAAAATAAAAAAATTAGCCAGACGTGGTGGTGTGCACATGTAGCCCAAGGCTGAGGTGGGACAATCGCTTGAGCCCAGGATTTGAGGTTGTAGTGAGCCATGATCATGCCACTGTACTCCAGCCAAGGTGACAGAGTGAGACCCTGTCTCAAAAAAGACCCCAAAACCAAACAACAAAATAACATAAAAATCAAAATATATCAGATTTCTTTTCATTTCTTAGCTATATTCTGCATATTAAATACACACATTAAAAATGCAGGTCCAGGCCAGGCGCGGTGGCTCCTGCCTGTAATCCCAGCACTTTGGGAGGCCAAGGCAGGTGGATCACCTGAGGTCAGGAGTTGGAGACCGGCCTGGCAAACACGGTGAAACTCCATCTCTACTAAAGATATAAAAATTAGTTGGGCATGGTGGTGGGCTCCTGTAATCCCAGCTACTCAGGAGACTGAGGTGGTAGAATTGCTTGAACCTGGGAGGTGGAGGTTGCAGTGAGCTGAGATTACGCCACTGCACTCCAGCCTGGGCGACACAGCAAGACTCTGTCTCAAAAAAAAAGAAAAAATGCAGGTCTAGGCAGCACTCCCGGTGGTCTCACACATCTGTCCCTTGCTTCGACAGTGTTAGGACAGAACAGACCTGAGGATTCCCTCTCTTCCAGCCTCTCCTAATCTCCAATCTCCCCTCCAGTTGCAACCTCCAGGACCATCTTCTCAGCCATATCCTGCTTCCAGGACCAGCCAACACCGTTGTTGTTAGAAATAAGTTTAGCTCCTTATTGCCAACCAACCACAAGCTCCTAGATTCGTGAGAATGATTCCACCGAGGAGGAAGCTGCGGTCAGCTGCCTGGTCTGTGTGCACTGGCAGGTCTCCTGCACTTACCATTCCCTGGGCTTCTATTTTAACCACAACAAGTGGCTCTGGAGCGCTTTGGTTCTTCCGTGAGTCGGTTCAACAGAAGCACAAGGGCACGGTGTGTCTCTTGGAAATGCAAAAGCAGCTGCACCATCTTCCAAGGTGGGCGGAAGCCATTTCTAGATGAGTGGGGAAAACCATGGATGCCATCAAAGCCATCGTCGCCTGGAGAAGAATTTGAACCAGGCCCTTATGGATCTGCATGCCCTTGGTTCTGCCCACACGGACCCTCATCTCTGTGACTTTCTGGACAGCCATTTCCTAAACGGGAAGATGAAACTCATCAAGATGATGGGCGACCACCGCAGTTACCTTTGCTGGCCAGCCGGCCCCCAGGCCCGCCTGTGCCAGTGTCTCTTTCAAACGCCCACCCACAACCAAAACCAGCAGCCTTTGAGGGGCACCTCTGCACCCCCTGGTATCAGGGCTTCCGCCCAACCTCTCCTTCCAGCCAGTAGGCAGCTTTTTCACCACCCTGCAGGCTTCTCCCAAGCCTTGGACCAAAGGGAAAGAAAGCTTTTTGCAGCAAGAAAAGAAAAAAGAAAAAGAGGAGAAAAAGAGGCTATGGGAAAATTGACATGAACACAACAGAGAGCCCAGAAATAAATCTAAACATATCCGGTCAACCAATTTTTGACAAGGGCACCAAGAGGACACGATGGAGAAAGAATAGTCCCTTCTTGACTGGATGCAGTGGCTCATGCCTGTAATCTCAGCAGTTTGGGAGGCCGAGGCGGGTGGATCACCTGAGGTCAGAAGTTTGAGACCAGCCTGGCCCACATGGTGAGTAACTACATTTTTTTATTTCCAAGGATTCAAATTGATTCTTGTCTCAGTTCCTTCTCTATTTCTCTAAGGTCTATACATGATAAAGTCCTTTCCTGACATTCTGCGATCACCATTCCCTTGGTTCTTCCATGGATTGTCCTATTTGTGGTGTATAACTTCCCCCGCATGTGTTAATTTCTGGCTCTGCCCTTGTCTGCTATGCGAACGTTGAGCAAGGATGATAATAGAACCTCCCTAAAACTAATCCTGTCCTTGTTCAGGAGCTGAACCCACTTTCGTAAGATTAATGAAGGCCACAAGATTAGGATTCGTGAGGGGACTGAGTTCTGTGAAAATACAGGCATAGCTTCTGTAAGCCCTTACTGCTCAGGAGTCATGTGGCCAGAGATCACAAGATTAACTCAGCGCCAGACATATGGAAGGACTGGAGCTATCACTGAAATCAGTCTCCCCAAAGGCCCAGAGGTTAGGGGTTTTCAGGGACAGTTTTGGGGGCAGGCAGGGGACTCGGGAATGGGTGCTATTTAGTGGTTGAGGCTTCTCTAGGTGTGTTCTGAATGGCAGACTGCTCCCCACAGGCAGCCCCTGGAGACATCTCTTCCCAGTGTTACCAGCCCAGGCCTCCAGGCTGTGGCCTCTGCCCGCCTCTCCTGTTCCCCACGTGCATTTCTCTTTTTGGCTTCACTTCTGAGTTATTCATTTAGCCACTTACTGCAGGAGTGAGGTGAGGATAGGAGAGTACTTGAGGTGCCCTCAATGTCCAGTGTGGTCTGGGGGTCCCCGAGCAGGACAGTGAGTTTGAGGTGTGGGGCTCAGGCACTGTGGCAGTAGGCTGTGCGAAGTGACAGGAAGACATCCGCCATGCACATTTTCTTTGGTTTTAAAGAAAGACATTACCATTTCAAGTCATATTTGCTTTTTGAGACAGAGTTTCATTCTGTCTTCCAGGCTGGAGTGCAATGGCGCGATCTCGGCTCACTGCAACCTCCACCTCTCAGGTTCAAGCGATTCTCCTGCCTCAGTCACCTGAGTAGCTGGGATTACAAAAAATACGTATATTTTAAAGCAGAGTAACAAATTCATAACTAAGTGTGGAGTGGAAAGAGGGGACCCCCGTGGACTTGAAATGGCAACGTTAGACTATGAACTAAATTTCTCCCATGGTTGATTTGGCCTATGCCCAGGAATGAGCAAAGACAGCCAGCCTGTGAGACTAGAAGCGGGATGGAGTCAGTCATGCTAGACTTCTCCTACCGTCGTCATCTTTGCAAAGCTGGTCTCACCATTTATTGAAGTGACTACTCTTTTTTTTTTTTTTTTTCAAAATAAAATCTTGCTCTGTTGCCCAGGCTGGAGTGCAATGGTGCGATCTCGGCTCACTGCAACCTCCACCTCCTGGGTTCAAGCAATTCTCCTGCCTCAGCCTCCTGAGTAGCTGAGATTACAGGCGCCCACCACCACGCCTGGCTAATTCTGTATTTTTAGTAGAGACGGGGTTTCACCACATTGGGCCTCACAGCACATATCAGCCCATCTCCTCTCCTGCTCGGCAGGGATGGTCACAATCCTCATTTCTCAGTTAAAGAAGCCAAAACTCCATTGTGACTGGTCTCAAGCTCCTGACTGCAAGTGATCCAAGCACCTCAGCCCCCCAAAGTGCTGGGATTACAAGGGTGAGCCACCACACCCAGCCAATTAGGGGTAGATATCCAACATTTAGCCAGGTGCAGTGGCTCACTCCTTAATCCCAGCACTTTGAGAAACTGAGGTGGGAGGATCACTTGAGCCCAGGAGTTTGAGTCCAGGCCCGGCGACATAGTGAGAACCTGTCTCAACAAAACATTTAAAAATTATCCAGGCATGGTGGTGTGCGCCTGTGGTCACAGCTACTTGGGAGGTTGAGATAGGAGAAGGGTTTGAGCCCAGAAGGTCAAGTAAGCTGTGACTGTGCTACTGTACTCCAGTCTGCGTAACAGAGCAAGACCCTGTCTCAAAACAAAAAAACAAAACCCAAAACATATAAAGAATTGGTACAACTCAACAGCGGAAAAAATATATAACCCAATTTTTAAAATGTTAAAAAAAAAAATTGAATAGACATTTCTTTAAAGAAGACATAAAAGCTGGGAGCGGTGGCTCACGCCTGTAATCTCAGCATTTTGGGAGGGCTGAGGCGGATGGATCATGAGGTCAGGAGATCGAGACCATCCTGGCTAACATGGTGAAACCTCGCGTCTACTAAAAAACAAAAAATTAGCTGGGCATGGTGGCAGGTGCCTGTAGTCCCAGCTACCTGAGAGGCAGGAGAATGGCGTGAACCCAGGAGGCAGAGCTTGCAGTGAACTGAGATTGCACCACTGCACTCCAGCCTGGGCGACAGAGCGAGACTCTGTCAAAAAAAAAAAAAAAAAAAAAAAAAAAAAAAAACACCTAACAAGATATCACCGGAAAGGAAACTTAGACTCCACTTCCTCTTGTGAACATAAGTACAAAATTACCAAATGAACTATGAGCAGGCCAATCAATACCATTCAATCACATATAAAATGGTATTAATCATATATCACAACAAAGTGATTTAATTCCAGAAATGCAATGTTACACATTCAAAAGCCAGTCACTAAGTTACCTTATCAACATAAAAAGATGAGAAAAAAATTGCTCAATCAAGAAAGAAAAAAGCAATTGATAAAATTCAGTACCTATTCATAAATTTTAAAACCTATCTAACAGAGAGGGTGCAACACGCCCAGTTAAACACTCCCACAGCTGAGAATAGTGACATAACTTACGTGCAGCCAAAAGATGGAAATTGCAGGCTGGATGCGGTGGCTCACGCCTCTAATCCCAGTACTTTGGGAGGCAGAGGCAGGCGGATCACAAGGTCTGGAGTTCGAGACTATCCTGACCAACATGGTGAAACCCTTTCTCTACTAAAAATACAACAAGGCCGGGCGCGGTGGCTCAAGCCTGTAATCCCAGCACTTTGGGAGGCCGAGACGGGCGGATCACGAGGTCAGGAGATAGAGACCATCCTGGCGAACACGGTGAAACCCCGTCTCTACTAAAAAAAAATACAAAAAATTAGCCGGGCGAGGTGGCGGGTGCCTGTAGTCCCAGCTACTCGGGAGGCTGAGGCAGGAGAATGGCGTAAACCCGGGAGGCGGAGCTTGCAGTGAGCTGAGATCCGGCCACTGCACTCCAGCCTGGGAGACAGCGAGACTCCGTCTCAAAAAAAATAAATAAATAAATAAAAATACAACAAATGAGCCGGGCATGGTCCCACGCGCCTGTAGTCCCAGCTACTGGGGAGGCTAAGGCAGGAGAATCGCTTGAACTGCAGAGGCAGAGGTTGTTGCAGTGAGCTGGGATCACTCCACTGCACTCCAGCCTGGTGACAGAACAAGTCTCCATCTCAAAAACAAAACAAAAAAAATTGAATTACAGTATGATCTTAACACTTTTGAGAAATCTGTTTTTCAGCTAAAAAGAGACAGACTCAGCCTTTTGACCTTTTCTCTTTTCCTCCCTGGAAGTCAATCCAAGGAAAAGCAGCAGCCACATTGTAACCACAGGAACAAAAACATGGCTAAAGAAGTATCAGGAAACTGAAAAGAATCTTGGACTGCCCGCCTCTGTACTCTTTTTTTTTTTTTTTTTTTTGAGACTGAGTCTGAGTTTCCCTCTCGTTGCCCAGGCTGAAGTGCAGTGGAGCGATCTCAGCTCACCACAACCTCCGCCTCCCAGGTTCAAGCGATTCTCCTGCCTCAGCCTCCCAAGTAGCTGGGATTACAGGCGCGCGCCACCACGCCCGGCTAATTTAGTATTTTTAGTAGAAATGGGGTTTCTCTACATTGGCCAGTCTGGTCGCAAACTCTCAAACTCAGGTGCTCCACCCGCCTCAGCCTCCCAAAGTGGTGGGATTACAGGCATGAGCCACCACGCCCAGCAGAAAATTGCAGTATAATCTTAAAACTTTTGAGAAATTTATGTTTTTCAGCTAAAAAGAGACAGACTCCGTCTTTTTACCTTTCCTCTTTCCCTCCCTGGAAGGCAATCCAAGGCCTGGAAAAACAGCAGCCGCATTGTAACCACAAGAACAAAAACAACTTGGACAGCCTTCCTCTGCACATTTTAAGTGACAAAAATGAAACCTATATTTCTTTAAGTCACTAAAGCATGTTTATTTTTTCTGTGACTACATGTAGCCTTAAATGATGTATTAACCAAAAATGCACAGCTAGCATAATGCTTAATGAAGAAATAATACAGACATTAAAATAAGGAATAATCCAATATGCCTGTTTTCATGTCTAATCTCTAACATTATATAACTATCCTATCCAATGTAATCAGACAAGAAAAAATAAATGCTACACAAATATTAGAAAGGAGGGTGAATATTATTATTCATAGACAATACAGTTGCTTCCCTAAAGATTCTAGGAATATTAACTGTTAATTTTTTTTTCTTTTTTTTTGAAACAGAGTCTTGCTCTGGTACCCAGGCTGGAGTGCAGTGGCCCAATCTCGGCTCACTGCAACCTCTACCTCCCAGGTTCAAGCGATTCTTCTTGCCTCAGCCTCCCAAGTAGCTGGGATTAAAGGTGCCTGTGACCACATCCAGCT